CAGCACATACTAGCTGAGAATGAAGGAACGACCAAAATCCCGATGGGTCCGCAGAGAATATGAATACCTGTCCCGATTCTCGAATTCGTATGCCCAAACAGACATCCGCCCCGCACAGCTTGCTATATTCATGCGATTTCTTTTCTAAATTCATCTTTCGCCGGTCTCTTTTCTGTCGAATTGATTTCTTCTCTGAGCTGGTGACTGTAGATCGCCTACGAGGTGCCTTAGCCATGATAGAGCTTGAACGGGTATTGGTGGATAATAAATAGGGTCGGGGATGAATTTGTAGATAATGAACGAAGTGGCAAGTGCTATAACTGGAAAAAAGGGTGCCTTTTATTGTTTAAAGAGCCAATGATTTTAGCATCACAAAGCCGTGGCCCTTGTCAGAGGTGCACGAACTGGCCACCACCCTGTCTTGCTCACCTAGGGGTGAGAAGACCTAGCCAATAAGCTTTGGCTGATCATAAAGACTTCCCCAATGTTACCTTAAGGCCCCACAAATCCAAGGGGTCGCCATGCTTTAGGCGTGCGGTTTTGTTGCGCGACACTGTTTCGGCTCGCAACGAACCTTACCCACGCTCCATCACGCATAGGCCTGCGACACCTTTTTTGTTCGCCAAAGATTGCCAGTTCGGTTTCAGGGCCCAGCCTCCGTGCATGCTCAGCCTCGATGAGGTAATAAGCGTGAAGCATCTCGGTCTGTGCAGTGATAGAGCTAAAATGCATTGAGGCCGGCCTCCACATACAGTCACTAACGAAATCAGCTTCCTCCCTACCGACTGCTTTTCTTCTCTCGGGCCCCACTGCCAAGGCCGTAGCGCACGTCATTTATTGATCGGGCCATACTTAGTTAAGGGCCGTTGTAAAATGCGCCGTAAAATGTTCCTTATCTAGTGCCGTGGCTATTAACGTTTACCGCCAACATCCAATCTAAAGCACCGGCTGTAATATTACGGAGAAATATATACAGGATGGATCGAAATCAGGTTCACCCTTACACACAGATTTTCTCTCGAACCCTCTTTCAAAACACGCTATGCCTATTATAGTGTCTTCCCCTGGCCCCTTTCCTAGCGGTACTCCAATATAGTGTAAATAATAATACAAAAATAGCTTCCGTATTACACTTATAGAATGAACGTTGAACCTGCAAACAAGGCAAATAAAGCAAACAAAAGGGGAATAAATCTATCTGTCCTCTCTGATTTGGAAATTTCGAACGTTAGATTATTGATAGACTAATTATGTCGCCTAATATTAACACACTTCCTCCTAAGATAATTATACTCGTCCTGGAGAATCTTCCAAATTCAGATACTCTGTTTATAGCAATTTTGAGCTGTCACCGAGTCTACGAAGCAGTTAACCCGTATATCCCTTCGGTTCTGACCTCGATAGTCATTTTACAGATAGCTTCTCTACGTGGCACTAGTAATACTCTTTATAATGTGGTTAAGAGCATGAGCCGTGTCCGGCCTATCGTTCGGGACCTCTAAGACTAAGCGAGGTTTCTGATATAGACACTAGGTGCCCTTAAGGGCGCGGCACACGATTATAGTGATGATATTTTAGCACTAGAGCTACCACTTCAACAATATGATATACAATATGCATCTATTGCCTAGAAGATCGCTAAACGTACCGTGAAGCGAAGCGACATTACTATAAGTAACTGGAAATATCTGTTATCTAGTTATAACCTAACATTTAGAGTGGCTTTAGGGAAAGTAAAACTATGCGTATCTAGCCTTCCTCTCAACTAACGGTATTGCCTAATGACCTTATTAGTCAACAAGTTTCCCTTACTAGCGCCGTGCTTAAGCAATATCAAATCATGATTAAGCAGGCTAAGTTCGACTTAACCGTAAGCGAACACCCCTATAATTGCGGATCTGCTTCGGGAGACGTCTAACACACAAAATATGCTTACACGGGAAAAAAGATCTATCGAACGGTGTCTTTATATCTGTAATGGAGCTTTAGAGTTCACTATAACTAGCGACTTTTAAGCCCGTAAGGGGTAGTCGACTATTATCTCTTCTATTAACGAACTACTTCCTAAAGAACGAAAGAATTTCACGATATTTGCGGAGCTTATTAGGATATTGCCGGCCTCGTGAAGAGTATGGAAGGATGCCTAAAGTGTTCTATAAACTAGACTTTCCGTGACAGCTAAGACTTATAAGATTCACGTGACTAGGCTACTACAGGAGCTACTTGATAGCTATCCCCCGGTTAGCCAGCCATTTAGGGAATCAGAAGAGTAAAACCATAAAGGATATAAGGACGCTCCGTTAGCATATATCTAGTTACTATATAATAGTAGAGTAGTGTATGATCTACTTAACCTATATATAGAAAGCGAAGATATTCTTACCGCTAGTATTACGGATCGTTAAGTTGCTAGTATCCCCGATACTAGTATGATAGTATATTATTAAGTATGCTAGCACGTGATAAGGTCTTTTAATACGATTTAAAAGCTAAGTCGGAAATAGATTAGTGTGTTTCCTACTAGGGTTCGAGAAAGATTCTATGAGATCAAGGTGGTGAAACTGATTTCGATCTATCATGTAGCACCATACACCGTAGATTTTATAACGGCCCTTAACTAAGCACGGTGTGATTAATAAATGACGTGCGCTACCGCCTTAGTAGTGGGGCCCGAGAGAAGAAAATCAGTCGGTAGGGAGGAATCTGATTACGCTAGTGACTGTGTGAGTGGTTACGTCTTAGGGTTTCCGCTAGAAGCACACTATAGACTGGAAACGGAACGATAGAAGCGAAAAGAAAGTCGGATTGTAGGAACAACGTAAAGTACTCTATAACGATAAGTTAAAGTTTTTAATTATATTAACTAATAGTCAGCACCCGAGCATTAGATGTCTTACCTCGGAACGGACCGTACCTATGCTTCTATCACTACGGTCGCCCGAAACTCCTCAACACAATCTACTGTTATATATTCCGGTCGCTGTATGGTAATTGTCGCTCTAGTGGAGCCCTTATGATCGATATGCATGGCCACCACCGCATTCACACTCCTATCAGTGTTTAAATCAAAAGGGGACTCGGAATTTCTGGCTTTAAGCGTAATTTTCAATACCATGACCGAGAGACATACTACCGTGATCAGCAGCGGCCGGAGGTCCAAAATGGCGGGGAAAATGCAGGAGAACGTTCGGCAGGGGGGGTGGCTGCTTGAATACCCCAGAGTCGATGATTGCTTGTGTGAAGAGAAGAT